CACACACACACACGTCTTTTAACTTCATTAAAATATTTCTTGCTTTTGGAGAATTTCAAAGAAAAAACCAATAATGAACAGGTGAAAAAAATACAAAAAATTAATTGAAACAAACTAGTGAGAAATGATTCTTATTCAAAAGGAATCACCATAAGATGCCTTTGCTTTGTTCTTGGGAGGCATTTACAAGTATGTAATTTAAAGAACCTTCAATTTTCATACTTTTCATATAGTGCACATATAAAGCACACCTATGATAGCTGGGGCTGTCAGGCTTTAATTGTGACAGCCATAAAGAATTATAGTTTATATATATATGAAATCTAAGAAAGACTTAAAAGGAAATTAACATTTAATATCTAAAAGGCACAGAAAAGAACAATGATAACTACTGTACTGTATTTACTCACACTTCCAATAACTTGATTACTTGTTCCATAACTCCATAACTGCTAATGCTGGGGAAAGAAAAGAACTTCCAGGCCCCAAAGACAGGACTCAAAATGGATCAACTTTTCTTATCCAAGTCTCTTGGATTAACTTACTCTTAACTTTATTTACAGATTTAACTATGCCTGGGTCTTTTATTTTCTAGTTCACAGAAGAGCAGATGAAGAAAACTAGAATAAGACGTGCAGTAGTTATACATGGAAGAAATTATAATACTATAATGTTATAAAGTCATACCCAGTAACCAAGGGGGGAAAAAAACTATTAGAAGATTGACTGAGACTGTTCAGGAAAGGGGAACAAAAACTATATCAAAACTGATGGACCAAATGACAACTCAGTTTCTAAGTTAAATAGCAAGTACTACTTAGGAAATATAATTTTATTTCTATTTTGAAAAAAGATTGAAATTTAAAATTTTATGCTTCAAGATTTTATGTTTGAGCAATTATGAAAATATATCACCTGATCCCCAAGACTGCTGGCCAATGAAACACTACCAGTCTTTCCATCTTAGTTCCCAGCATAATTACTAAAATAAATACATGAACATCTCATCCTTTATATCTGGATCCCCTTTATCCAACTTAATACTCTCTTAAATTAGGTTCCCTTTTCACAATAATCTAGGTTCCCTTTTCACAATAATCAACTGAATTTTTAATACTAAAATATAATAATCTTAAGCAGTTAGATATTGCTAGACAGCAAGGTAAGAATTTCACAAACTCCCATTACTTGTGATCTTCCTGAGAAAACTGGTTAGGAGATGATTCTCTGCAGGTGAATTTGTTGAGCTGATAGTTTAGATGTAACACTGATAGCCTAGCATGTAAAACAGGGAGTATCAAAAAATACTTTGATCAGTTATCCAATACTTGTTTATATATGTGTGGCCTGCAAACAGATAAGCTTGATCAACCCAACTTTCTGCATATCATAAAGTATATATCTGACAAGAAAATAAAAATTTAACATTTAAATATGTAACTTACCTCATGACTTTCAGGCTGTGAAAACACAACTGGGTGGCCTGTATCTGAAGCTTCCCTTATACTGAGATGTAATGGAATGTCTCCTAAAAGAGCCCAAAAGATATCACTAAATACCAGAAGAGTCTATAGAGGCATTTAGAATCTCACAATTTGAACAATGGAAATAAAACCACCTCATTCAAATTAAATTGAGTTATGACTATCTTCAATTTGCTAAATATCTGGAAAAGGAATTTCAAATACAAATTAAGGAACAAAATATTCCACTTGAAGATGACTACATATGTATGCATGTAAACTAGCAGATAAGAGATGAGACTCCTGATTTATTCTTCACTGGCAGTCTTCTAGCAAGGAATGGCTTAGAAGACATTTGTAAGAGATTTCCTCCTGTAATATCTGATATAGATATATCAAGTCATGTAGTAAGAGAAAACTGAAAAGCAAAGGACACAGAATCATAGGCCAAAAAGAGTACAACAAAGTCCTCTTTATCTTAGCAGACAAGTGAGCCGAGAGAAGTTAAAAAGTAGGCCAGACCTGTTATCTGAACTATCTGCCTCTTTAACAGACAGAATTATTTCCCCTTACTATGTACTAATTTATGTTACATTATATGTAATTTGTGCACCTGATAAGTTTTCAGGAAGTCCTTAATATAAACCTCCAATATACAGGCTACCATTGGAAAGGTTGTACATTTTTCCTAAGGATATATTTCTATTAGGTGATAGGATTTAAGAGTAAAATGGTCCCATCATACTATACCTGCTATCTACTATACAAGAAGTCATTCAAAGGCTGAGATTTAAAATGCAATATATGGAGTCTTAAGTACTTGTCAGAGTACTCAGCATTTTCAGAACCACTCCAAATCTATGCAAAGGCTATTAGAATGTGTGTGTGTGTGTGTGTGTGTGTGTGTTTGTGTGTTTTATATAAATAAGTCATTCAGCACCCTGACAGGCAATGTAAATAATGCAAAAGAAGTATATGCTGCCAAGATGTTACAATTTATTATGAAGTAGATGTCAGAGGGACAGATATTTCATGCTCCTGCTGTCAGCAAATTTTTCAATCTTAACTCTTTGTCTTTCTTTAATGTCTAATAGCCAATGAAAAAATACATGAATATTTCATTAACGATTTAAAAATTAGCTTTCCAGTAAATTTGATGCCTATTCTATGGATTAACTTAAGACTATAGGAAATTGTCACAGGGGCAGACATAGTATTATAAATTATAGAAAATGCTCAGAAACCCATAAATATCTCTATCTCTCTTCTCTTTGTCTTCTCTCTCCCCTCCCCACTTCTCTCTTGTGCTGAGGATGGAACTGAGGGCCTCACATGTGCTAGACAAGCACTCAGCTACATCCCTAGGTTCAAATTTTTTCTCTTGGTTTATGAACTACCATTATATTAAGGAATCCTGAATGACATCTTTTCTACTGCAGAAATGGAAGTAAAACAAGTAAACCTTTCTTTATATAGCCACCTATTGACACTGTTTCTGCCTTCCAAAGACTTGCACAAGAGCAGACTATGAAACGGAAAACTCTTATTAGAAAATAGGTGAGTGGTCATAGGCTATGAGTCATATCTAGAGAGGAGGAATGGCATAAAGAGTGATAAAGACCAGTTCGGGCATGAAAAGTGTCTCTGAGGAGCCATCTTTGAAAGAGGTGAGGGCACATTTCAAATATGAAACAGGTTAAAGGATTTTCTCTGAGATGACCCGAGACTTTAACTACTGAGCATAAACTCTCCCTAGAGGTAAATATGGAGAAGGTTCTTAAGAGCCATTTTACCAAATAATCATTTAAAACACAACCCAAAGAATAAATATAAATTCAGCAGCTTCCAAGAATTTGGTATAGAACAAATGAGGATTCTTTGGGGATTTAAACAGCTGAAGGCCTTAGCTGGGAGAACTCTCCCTGATTTCAGCTTCTCTTTCCAAATTCTAGCCACATCATAATTGGATTCCCTAGTCCAGTTCATGGGACATACCTCTGGGATGCTGTGACTATATTAAAAGGAGAAGATCAGTCCTAAGTTGGAACTATATAAATTACTTTTCCCATAACACTGTTTGACACAGCAGTATATGGCATTATTCAGTTTTTGTGATTAGTAATTAGTGTTTCTGATACATTTTCAGGGAACTGTACATTTGTGAACTATTGGTTGAAATGTAACTTCCAAATATGAGAGCATCTTTCTATAAAATGTTTCAAATTCTAAATAAATGACTTATAAAATTGTACCACTCATTTATAAATTAGGAAATTATAATATTGAAAGCATAATTCAATAATACCATTATAATTATACATTTACTTTATTATGTAAGTGAATGTCAATTTGTTATGTTATTATGCAGATTTGCATAACTGAACTTTCTAGGTTAGTTAAATGAAAAACAGTTGCAGAATATAATTGGTGTCTATAATTATAGCAATGTATCAAAATATATCATTAGTGTTCACCTGGTATTATAGTTTCTGCTATAATACAAATACATAGTAATAATACATTTAACTTTTAGAAACTTAATTACAATAATGAACGTTTTGAAATTCTTTGATCTCCAAGGAATCTTAAGTTTTTAACTACTTAAAACTAATAATTCACTCTGCCCCTATTCAGAATCTAACCTGTACTCTTGACCAGAATATAAAGTCATTCACAAAAAAACATGTTTTCTAAAAAGTCCATTAAGTTGCTGTGGGTTTTTGACAAATCACATTTTATCAAAAAAATCTGTATTTCATCTACACCTGTTTATACACATATTTATGTCCAACTTATTAACCAAAGCGATCACTGTCATTAAAAATATGGTTTCAAATTACCTGGACCACAAATATGGGTTCAACATACTTAGACCACAAAACCTTCTTCTCAAATTTAATTTATAGGGATTTTTTTTATCTAAAGTAGAGATTATTATCATCGTTATAAGAAATTCCTATTTTTAAAAGCCAAAGAAAGGTAAACACAAAGAAAGGCATTATACTAACATAATTTACATGACAAAGTCAAACGCAACTAAATGAGATACTCTTTATTACCAAGCTGATTTCCACTCTCTTCTGCAACTTCCATTGTAAAAGAACAGCACATGGTCTTACCCAGAACATCAAGATCAAGGGTCTGTGCTAGCCTCTTTGCACCATCAGCACCGAAAATATGAGTTTTGTGTTTACATTTTGGACATTGGAAAACACTCATATTCTGGATAAGGCCAAGAACCTAAAAGAATAAAAACATTGAAATTAAAATCAAATCACACCAGGTCTCAATACATACATCACTTCAACACGTTTTACAGTGTATCTAATAGAAGGTGACATGATGAATTACGGTCTCTCTTCTCAAGGAACTCACAAGTTAGTGAGAGATCAAGACACAGGTAATTAACGTTAATGGTGATAAATGCTAAAAAGAGGTAAATAAACAGCAACCAAAAGCTCTAACTGGGAAGAATAAGAATAACCTTGAGTTGTCCTTGAAGGGAGTGAGTCCCACAGAAGAAAATGCAGGCAAAAGAAAGAACACAGCCATGCAGCAAAACAAAACTATGTGAGTCACAACCCTGTAGATACTCAAAGCAGAATATTGTTCATTAAGGAAAGCTAGGGTCAGATGTAAGGTATCAAGTGCTATCCATGTATCTGAGATTTTCTTGTTCAGATATAGGAAAGTACAAAGGTTTTCAAAGTTGAAAAAATGGTATCAAAGAGGTAGTGTTACACAATCAGAGGTGTGGGGTAGAAACTTGCTGAAGGTAATATGGAGAAAGTGCAGAAAGAGAGGAAAATAGTTAAGAGATCAACTATGGACAAAAAAGCAAAATAAAAGATAGTAGAAAATAAGGAGATAGATCTTTTGACAAAAAGAAGGGGACCAAGAGATAGAAAGAAGAGGGGAGGAAGAGAAGGGAAGGGCCTAAAAAAAAAGAATTAACGTATGTTATGTACATGTAGCAACTCCCTGTGAGGAATGTAATCATTATATACTGCAAACATGTAATAATAAAAATTGAAAAAAATACTAGCTAACATATACTAAGTGCCTATTGTATGTCTTGTATGAGAGTAAAGTGCTTTAAAAGTACTATTTTATTTGTTTCTCATATGGACTTTAGTAGATGGGTATTTTATCATACCCATTCTACCTGAGGAAATGGACAGTGATAGCAAGACTGAACTTCAGTTCATATTAAAATGTTTCTGCCTAAAACAAAATTTCTCTATCTTCTATCCAAAATAGTTCTTTAACATTATTATTCAATAGTCTCATTGAATAAATATACTGGCTCTGCAAATATAATTTGTATTCATGGTCCTTTTAATTGGACTTCCTTATTGATGAGAAGCAATGACTCTCTTCTAATATAAAAATGCAGAACACCACATCAGAGTTTTCAATACCAATGCCTGTATCATCCTGCCGATTCCACCATAAGATCATCACTGAAGACTACTGGAATATTTCCATTTTAAATGAAGAATAGCACTGATAGTTCATAATAAATCACACAGAAAAGAAAGTGTTAAAATTATTCTTTTTGAAAACAGAAAAAAATTAAGGTTGCTTACAAAAACATGTAAATGAAGATAAACAGTGAAGGACATAAATATGTAAGAAAGCATTTTCTAAGCATTTAATATACACTCTTTTACTGATGTAACACATCACAAAAAATAAGTCAGACTGTTATGGTAATTCAGTACCATTTCCAAAAGTGCTAGAAGAAAAACATGGCTTTAATATCACAGAGGTTATTTGTTTATTTATTGTGTCTATATAATATATTCATTGCTTGGGCAGTTTTACTGCCATTTATGTTAAATGTTATATATACTCTGACTGCAAGGCTTTCAACTTAAACATAAAAAAATATCACTCAAGAAGTGAGAACAGTGAAAATACTTAAAGAATGTGAACATTTTGGTGAGGGTATATTTCAATTTGGAGAGAACAGAAAAACATTCTTACCTTGGAAACTCTGGGACCCTCCTAGACACAGAGGTATGGAGCAAGAGTGAATCCGCAGTTTTGGGTGATTTACATATTACCAAATTGTTCTCTATGGACTATAGAAATATCTTAGATATAGTCTCTACAGACTACATGTCACAGACATAAAAACTATAATGAAACAATATTTAAAATGCTCTTATTAATGCATGCCAGTAACTGGATTAAACACAAGAGATAGCATACAATGTTGGGCAAAAGGGGCCCCACTGGGGAGTACACTCTAATGGGAGAAATGAACTGAATGAAAAATACACTTTTCTGGAAGCAAATTAGTGGGTATCATGAGAGAGTAGAACAGACAGAACTCAATCTATTCTAGGAGACAGAGAAGGTTTATTAAGGAAAGAATTAGGGCTAATGTTAAGAGAAAATCAGGCAAAAACCAGGAGAAGGGGAAGAAAAATATTCAATACAGAAGTAGGGAGCACATATTTCTCTTCAAGAAACTGAAAGGCCAGTCTGAGGTTGGCATGAGTATGGTATGAGTGGCATGAGGTGAGGTTGAAAAGAGAGGGCTTGTAGGCAACATTCAGGTGCTGGGGTTATATATAGTGTGAAGGTCATTAAATGGTTTTGAGTAGGGAGGCCATTCTGTTACAGCTATAGTAGTAGTAGACTCATTTGTGTTGTTTTTAAAAAACAACACAAAAGAGTGGAAAAAGCTAAAAGGATTTGTCTTTGTTTTTCAAAATCAATCATGAGAGAGGTGCTCATTTTTTGTACTGTCTAAAATATATTCATTTGGAAGATAACTATCTATATGTTCAAAAGTCAGAGGTTTTGTTAAAAAGCTTGGCTGTTTTACTGATAATATGTAACTCCTTTCAGTTTAAAGATAAATATTGCTTCCTATGTCACCTTGAGTAAACTAATTCCACTTAACTCTAGAATTTCCTCATCTTAAGAACTTCTACATTTACTATTTTGCTTGATTTGGAAAAAAAATGGTTACAATGTAACACAACAGAGAGCCTACCACAGATCTCTTATAAAAGTAACTGATTTATAATTGAGATGACAATACATGTTAATTGAATATTCACATGGAAAATAATCAATCTTAACCAATTACTCACTCCATACAGAAAAACTGATTCCAGGTAGACATAGAGCTAAGTGTGAAAGGTAAAATTATAATACTCTTGAAGAAAATAGGTGAATATACTTATAACCTTGGAGGCAGGCAAAGATTTTTCTAGCATGACATGAAGAAGCACTAAACTTAAACTTTAGAATTTTTATTAAATAGGATTTCATTAAAATTAAGAAATTAATCAAAAGGCATCACTAAGAGTAAAACGGCAAGCTATATGGCAGGAGATGATTCCAACAGTATACATACATAATATAGGACCTTTACCTGGAATATATAAAGAACTCATAAAAATCAATAAGGATAATTTAGATAATTACAAAATAGGCAAGAGAATTAGCAGGCATTCCACAAAAGAGGATATGCAAAGTACCTTATACTTGAGACTGAATAAGAAAAGATGAACATCAGTATGACAAAAACAAAAAAATAAAAATGTTGGTGAGGATGTAAAGCAACTATGACTCATTTTATTTCAGCTGAGTATAAATTGGTATGACCATTTTGGGAAACTGTCTGGCACCATGTACTTAAACTGAATAACACATAACCTATGGCACAGTAACTCCATAAAGTAGCAACAGAAATGTGAACCCAACATTCACTAAAAGACATGTGCAAACTGTTCATAACAGTATTAATCATAATTGCAAACAACAGAAAAACTAAACTGCCCATAAACAGTAAAACAGACAAATTGTGTTTATCTTCACATAATGAAATGCTATACAAAGAACCCTATAGCTACAATTCATGGCATGAGTGAACACTGCAAAAATTCCAAGCAAACAAGCTAGTAGAAAAAAATATACACTATACCACTATATATCTATTCCCATTTATAAAAAGTTCACCGGCAACACCAATCTAGGTATTATAATGTAAGGTCTAGCCAGATATGGTTGTTGCATGCCTATAATCTCAGCACTCTGGGAGGTTGAGGCGGAAAGACTGCAAGTTCAAACCCAGCCTAGACAACTTAACAAGACTCAAGTTTCAAAAGAAAAAAAAAAGTAACCATGAGAAGCAAAAAGTAATAAAAGAGTGAGCACAAACAACTAAAACAATGGTGTATTAGGTATTTTATGAATCTGCATACATAAAAACAACCACCTGCTTTATATCCATTAAAATGAAGCAGCAGTAGAAATAAGATGACTTCCCTGGGAAGAACAATCTCCTGTCTTTCCTAACACTCCAATGAAAGACCTGAAACAAAGTCTAATCCCAGAGATCTTCCAAAATGATGTGATTACACACTGCAAGGTCCAAAAGTAATCATGTGGCTACACATGAAATGTGGCTAGTCAAAATTCACCCTTCAATGCCTAGTGTTCCATTTCTGGAATGTCCATTACAATGGAACATAATGAAATTTTTTTCTCTTTAAATTCTTGATCCATTAATTTTTCTAGTTAACATACATAAATTTGCAAAAAACTGCAATCTTCAGCATAAATGGGTTAAGATGTATTGTTAGTAGAAAATACATACTGGATATAAATGAAAGTATGAGTAAATGCATATATATAATATATCAGTAATTTTTTAAGTTTATAAGATGTTTTTATGTTTTTTCATCAGAGTATATCATCAAGACAGAAAACACACAAATCGTAAGTGTATGGAGGAACAGATTTTTAAGGCACACCCACATCACCAAGACCCTGTCAAGAAATATAAGACAGCCAGCACCCTATGAGTTCCTTTGTATATCCTCCAAAACAATTGCTCAAAGATATATACTAACTTGATTTTTTTCATTAAGTTTACTGGTACATTTAAGGTAAAATACAGTTGCATTCATCATTGGGATCTTGTACCTTTAAATAATGTGTCTTGGTTCTTATTTTTTCCCCACTCCCTTGCTTTCCCTTCACCGTTCCCTATTTTCAAAGATTTTGTTTCCATTTTTTCCTTTCCCTTATTTCGTTTCCCTTACTCTTCACACTTCCCCTTCTCCTTTAGACCTTTTCTTCCTATTTCACATTATCAATTATACCATTTGAACCTTATTTACAAAACAGTCCAACTGCTCATCAACTGGAAACTGGACAAAGATGTGGTTTTTCTATAAAATGGAGTACTACTCAGCCATAAAGAATGAGAAACT